TTTAGGGTATCTTGGGGTGCTTATAAATAGACAGCAATGGTTCTTAGTCAGATGACATAATTGTAAATCTCTGAATCAATATAATAAAATCTCTCCGGTTCCTGCCTGTGGATGTAGGTTGACACACCGTCACCAACCACGTAAAACCTCTGTGTTCTTTATTTGCTTTCTTTCTCGTTTTTTCATAACAAGTGGTATCAGAGCCATATCTTATTGATTGAAGATGTCCTCGTATAAGTTTGATCTTGAGAAGTTTAATGGGTCGAATGACTTCACGCTCTCGAAGGTCAAAGAGGAGGGCACTTCTGGTTCAACAAGGATGTGCGGCTGCGTTGGAGGCAGGGGCGGAGCCAGAGCGCCGGAGTCGTGGGGGCATCATTTAAATAACAAAAAATAAAATAAAACCCTAGAAATATTTTTTACATTCTAAACTGCTACAGATCTACAGTTACATTGGGGGGGCCAAACTACAGGCTAAAACATAATTTAAACTAAAAAATCATCATAAATTTGTAGTTCGGGGGGGCGACGGACCCTCCGGGTTCCTTAGTCGCTCCGCCCCTGGTTGGAGGGAGAAGACAAGTTTTCTAAAGACACGAAGGAGGAGATAAATACGGAGATTTTGGCAAGGGCTCATTCCGCGATCTTGTTGTCAGTTACTGATGAGGTGTTACGGGGAGATTGTAGATCAGACAACGGCTTTTGGGTTATGGAATAAACTGTGTGAGAAGTACCAAAACAACTCTCTCACGTACAGACTATATCAGAAGCAACGTCTTTACACCCTCCGGATGTCCAAAAGTACTCATGTAAAGGATCATCTTGATACCTTTAACCGTATCATTCTTGATCTTCAAGGAGTTGAGGTTAAAGTAGATGATGAAGATCAAGCCCTAATTTTACTATGTTCACTACCTGGTTCATATGAGAATTTTGTAGATACTATGCTATATGGTAGAACTACAATTTCCGTTAACGATGTGAAAGATTCCCTTGTGTCCAAAGAATTGAAAAGAAAGGTTTATCTGGAAAAGAGTTCTAGTTCAGGTCTGTTTTCAGGTAGGGGAAGACCACAGGAAAGGGGTAACAGGAATGGGAGGTCGCGTTCAAAATCAAAATCCTCTAGCAAAATTAAGTGTTATCTTTGCAAGAAGAAGGGGCACGTTAAAAAGGATTGTCCACAGAATAAGGGAAATACAAAAGTTGATTCTAGTAACAGTGGCAGCAGCGCTGCTGTGGTACAAGACAGTTCTAATGATGGGGACTTTGGTGAAGTAATGACAGTGTGTAGTGCTAGTACTGCTGATTCCTGAATTATGGATACCGGTGCTTCTCACCATATGACGTTCTCTCGTGATCTACTCACTTCTTTTAAGGAGTGAAATGGAACGGTGAAGTTACGTGATGATGGGGTTCTAGTCAAAAGGGGAGCGGGATAGTGCAGATAAAATTGCATGACGGTACTGTTAGGAAATTTGACTGTTGGTATGTTCCTGAACTCAGAAAGAATTTGATTTATCTTGACACCTTAGCCAAGAATGGTTTAAAATATCATGGTGAAAGTGAGTGGGTGAAAGTCTTGAAATGTGCTCTGGTAATGATGAAGGAAAAACTGCAGCATGGAATTTATTTTCTACAGGGCAGTTCAGTGATGGGAACGGTGGCGGTATCCCAGTCCTTGGATAAACATGATGACAGGACAAATATGTGGCACCGTCGATTAGGTCACATGAGTGAACTAGAGTTGTCTATGTTGAGCAAGCAGGGTTTATTTGGTGGGGATGTGATAGGTAAAAATTCTGTGAGGCTTGTATAAAAGGGAAGCAACGCAGGGTGAGGTTTAGTACCGGTCATTACACTTCAAAAGAAATTATGGAGTATGTTCATTTAGATCTATGGGTTCCCTCTCCGGTGAAATCGCAGGGCAGGTGTTCTTACTTTGTCACTTTCGTAGATGATTATTCGAGAAAAGTCTGGTTATACTTCCTGAAGACTAAAGATGAGGTGTTTGGGAAGTTCAATGGGTGGAAGACCATGGTTGAAAAACGGACGGATAAACAGGTCAAGACTCTAAGAACTGATAATGGTTTGGAGTTCTGCAACACTCTATTTGATGATTTCTGCAAGAAAGAAGGTATAGTGAGGCACCGCACTGTACGACACACACCACAGCAAAATGGAGTTGCAGAGCGAATGAACCAAACCCTCATGGCGCGTGCTAGGTGTATGCGCATATTTGCTGGCTTATCTAAGCAATTCTGGGCTGAAACAGTTAACACTGCTAGCTATCTGGTTAATAGATCTCCATCAACTGCAATTGACTTAAACACTTCTCAAGAGGTATGGTCCGGTAAACCCTCTGATTACTCTAATCTAAGAATATTTGGATGCCCTACATACGCTCATGTGAATGATGGTAAGCTGGAGCCGAGGGCGGTAAAATGCATATTTCTAGGATATGCAACAAGAGTAAAAGATTATCGACTGTGGTGTACAGAAGGTAAAAATCCTGGTAGATTTCTTATTAGCAAAGATGTAACCTTTGATGAATCTGCTATGCTTGATCAGAGTAGAGGTTGTGAAAGTATTGCAGGTACAAAAGATTGTGGTGCTGACCAGAGGGTGGAGTTTGAGACTCCTGACAGAGTTGTGTTAGAGGAAGAGCAGTACGATAATACTATGGATCAATCCGATCAACCAAATTAGTCAAAACCTCAAGGGAAACCGGTTGAGGGGGAAGCTGATAACGCTGGTATTGGGGTTAAAGATTCCATAGCAGCAAGAAAAGGAAAAAGGAATATTCAGAAACCAGCTAGGTTTGCAGGATGTGTCAATACATGTGACATGAAATCTGTGGCTTATGCACTGGCGGTTGGTGATGATCTTGGCTCTGATGAGCCAAAGACATATAAAGAAGTTGTGGCGAGTAAAGATGCAGAAACCTGGATTATGGCAATGAATGAAGATGATGTAGTCTCTTGAAAAGAACAAGACTTGGGATCTTGTTGCACTACCAAAAAGGGTGAAGCCAGTGGGATGCAAGTGGGTCTTGAAAAGAAAGGAGGGAATTCATGGTGTTGAACCTGCTAGGTTCAAGGCGAGACTGGTAGCAAAAGGGTTCTCATAAAATGAAGGAATCGATTATCATAAAGTCTTTTCTCCATGGTGGGTGCTTTTGATCTGGAGCTGGAGCAACTTGATGAAAAAACAGCATTCCTTCATGGTAATCTAGAAGAATAAATTTATATGTCTCAACCGGAGGGGTTCTACAGTCCTAAAGGGGTTCAGGTATGCTTGTTAAAGAAATCTCTATATGGCTTGAAGCAGTCTCTGAGGCAATGGTATAAGAGATTTGACTCATTCATGGTGTCTAATGGTTATACTCGTAATCAGTTTGATAAATGTGTTTACTCGAAGAAAGTTTATACTGATTCCTTTATGTATCTGCTGTTGTATGTGGATGATATGTTAATTGCAGCTAAAAACATGGCTGTAATTAATGACTTGAAGGTTCTACCAAAGATAGAGTTTGAGATGAAGGATTTGGGTGCGGCAAAGAAAATACTTGGTATGGAGATCTGGCGTGATACAGAAGCAGGATGGCTATGGGTTTCCCAAGAAAAGTATATTGAGAAAGTTTTGCAGGCATTCTCTGTTGATCAGTCCAAACCAGTAAGTACTCCTTTGGCGGCACACTTTAAACTTGATCGAAGCATTATACCGGGTACAGATGAAGAGATTAGCTACATGAAGACGGTTCCATATTCAAGTGCAGTTAGAGGTCTTATGTATGCGATGGTATGTACGAGACCGGATCTCGCTTATGCAGTTAGTGTGGTGAGCAGGTTTATGGCTAATCCGGGTAAAGCTCACTGGGGAGCTGTAAAGTGGATCTTGCGATATTTGAAATGAGCGTCTGATATTTGTCTGGTATATGATGATAAAGACCATGGTGATGGTCTTGTTGGCTATGCAGACTCTGATTACGGGGGTGACTTGGTGAAACGAAGATCACTGACTTGCTTTATCTTTACTCTGTTTGGATGTGCAATCAGTTGGAAGTCTACTTTACAACCTACGGTTGCACTGTCGACGACTGAGGCGGAATACATGTCAATGACTAAAGGTATTAAGAAGGGTGTTTGGTTACATGGTCTGGTGCAGAGTTTGGGTCTGAAGGTGGAGAAACCGGTGTTATTCTGTGATAGTCAATGTGCTTTGAGTTTGGCTTAAAATCCAATGTATCATGAAAGAACCAAACATATTGATGTAAGGTTGAATTTTATTGTGATGTTCTAGAGGAAGACAGGTTTTCTATTCAAAAAATAGCTACATAACACAATCCAGCTGATATGTTGACAAAGGCGCTACCGACGGAGAATTTTGAGCACTATTTGAACTTGGTAAATATTCGCATGAGGTAAAGCCCTATCGGGGCATCTGGTAGGAAGGAAACGACTAAGAGATACTGATGAACCTTTGGCGGTTGGAGAAACTCCAAGTCAAGGTGGAGATTGTTGAAACGTGACTTGGATTTAGCGGTCTACCCGGCTCGAAACAAAAGCGAAAGGGCTGTTTCAATTGGCAGGGTTTCTTTTGGGCTTATCCTAATTAATAACAAAGAGGCTTAGGGTTTAGGGTATTTTGAAGTACTTATAAATAGACAGCTATGGTTCTTAGTCAGATGACATAATTGTAAATCTCTGAATCAGTATAATAAAATCTCTCCGGTTCCTGCCTGTGGACGTAGATTGACACAACGTCACCGAACCACGTAAAACCTCTGTGTTCTTTATTTGCTTTCTTTCTCGTTTTCTCGTAACATTCTCACGTCAGACTACACCAAGTCCAAGTTTGCACATTCACTACTACTAGTTGCCTTTACTACTGTTCTTTCTATTCACTGCTTGCTTCAGAATCTGAATTACCACCTACTGTATTTATGCATGCATGTAGAACAAATACATAGCCAACAATATGCACGCCATTTGTTGGCACAGTTAACTCAATCGACAGACAATAATAATATAGATCATAAAACCCAACAATAATAGGTATACATACATATATATATATATATATGACTCTGTGTGTGTGTGCGCCCTACAGTAGACAGTAGTAAACTCCAGAAGCTGTTGGTGTCCATAGCCTAGTACAGGACAAGGGGGATCTGGAAATACGTGAGCATCTCCACTGGTCCCCGTCAATTATTATTTTTTCCTATAACCAAACACAAATATCACCCCTGTCCAACTTACTCTTTTTTGGTGTACAAACGCAGAATAAAAGCTATTCCCAAGACCAAAAGAGGCAGGGCATAGAGGAGAAACTTGGATGAATCAGATTCTTGATTTGCGCGGGCAGAAGCGGCAGCCGGTTGAGGTTTGTACGAGTCTTTTTTAGGAAGAGTGGATTCATCAATCTCCCCGACGTAGAATTCTTTCATCTTGTCTCTTGCTTCATCACTATGCCCAACGTCTTCAAAATCAATCGTCGCATCCTTCCCTGCATAGCATAGTGTAAACGGAAGCACCGAACCACCATTCAATTGGACAAGTAGTAGGGTATCTGTAAATATAATAAGCAAGTCCGACGAAATAGATTCGGTCAAATCATTAAGAATATCAGGCCTCAGCTCCCACCTGATGATGTTACCAATACATCATCGCCTCCGGGATGGTCGTCCAGAAACGGTGTCACATCATAGACCTAATTTAGTAATGTAATACGAAAAGCCATTAGAAAACTGATCCTGCATTATATCTTTCACAAGTTGCTGACAGTTAGTTATATGCGCTACTTTATATGGCTTTCATGATAGAAGAAGACACCATGCATTAATGCCAAGAAGAAGAATGTGAAAGCTACAGATTTCATATTCATTGCGCCCATAATTAGTTCTGGTTGGATTCATTGATCCATTATACTAGTTCAGAATATTACAATAACTACTTTAGGATTTCGGGAAGGTACTGAGTAACTCAAACCAGAATTAATAATCTAAAGCTGAGACAAGGTTGAAACATCGGGATATACGGACGTACTGAAAATGATTATATGTAGAGCTGCATGAAGGTGAATAAAAATCTAAAGAATCTGATTGCTTGGGTACACACCTGAGCTAGATGAGCAAAGTATATCACAGAAGTCAACAGAACATAATGTTGATATAATAAGTCTTATTCGGACATATAATAATCCTCTTAACCTAGATGGCCCTTATTTATGGGCTCATTTACACCAAGACATAATAAATAATGACTAACATAAGATGATATGAAATTAAATAGAAGTCCGAGTCTTCAAACTTTGTACCACAATCAAACATACGTGAACCCGGTCTTCCTCCCTCATTGAACATAAGCCTTTCAGCATGGCACCAAATCACCTCACATATACCAAAGATGCAAGATTGTTGTTCTTAACCTTCAGGATATTGGGAGGGTGAGAAATACCCAAATTGGATGGCTACAATGAAGGAGGAGTTTTACATGATTAAAAGAAGAAAAAATAAAAAAATCAAACGTGGGTGCTAGTTGAAAGGCCTCCACATCAGAAAGTAATTGGAGTGAAAGGGTGTTAATGGCAATGGCTCAAAATAAATATAAAGCAATGCTAGTTGTGAAAAGATTTGCTCAAGTTCCTGGAGTATACTTCTTGATAAAAAATTTTCTATATCAAGATTGGACACCATTAGAAAGCTTCTATCTACTGCTGCAAATATGAATGGAAAATCTATCCTCTTGATAGAAAGTCAGCGTCCTAAATGGACTTTGGAAGAACAAATTTACATCGAGCAACCTAAAGGTTTTTCTATAATAGGCCATGAAGAGCCGGTATATTTGATGAAGGTGTTGGATGTCTTAGAACACAGGAATGATATAATAGAATAGATACTTATTGAACTTTGGCTTTGTAAAGAACCTAACATTACATGTTAAAGGTGACATTACTGATTTTATCGTAATCTCACTTTATGATGATAATCTTTTGGTCACTAGCAACAATAGTTACCTTGTTCTGCGGCTCAAGAAAGCTTTAAAGCAAGTTCTTGAGATGACTAGATCCTTGAGAAATGTATTACTTTCTTTAAGTGGAAGTTAAATAAAGACAAGATGACAGTGATTCAATTAATTATTTTCTACTTCATGTGATTCAATTATTATCGTAAAAGATAATTATTTTCTAATTAAGCAAGCTTTGAAGCAAGTTCAATTATTTTCTCACTTTATTACTTTATTTGAATTTTTTTTTTGTTGCTCGTAAAAGATTTAATTATTTTCTACTTCGCATGATTCATAGCTGAAGAAAGCTCGGGCATGACCTGCTTTTCATTACCATCAACTATCCTCAAAACAATCCATAAAGTGTTGCCCATAAACAACCTTCTACTTGATTCCAAAAATTTTGATGAAAAAATAATTTCCGTAACTTTTCTGCCTTTCGACGTTCTCGACAGCTTATTATTGCTTCAATCATCACTCACAAATATCTGACTCAATTCATTCATTTTTCCAATGTCCTCTAATATGAGATTGATGCAATGGGCTACACAAAGTATCCAAAAAAGACCAGAAATACGTTGTTCCAATAATCTACCCGCCGCTTTATAATTTGCCCTATTATCGATCACAATTTGCACAACATGCTCCTTGCTAATTTCTTCAACTTCTTTCTCAAGCAAGGCTGTTAACATTCTTGAATCATGCCACTAAGTTGATGCATCAATTGACTCCAAGAAAAAAATCTTATCGGGACTATTGACAAGAAAATTTATCAAATGTCGTCCTCTTTTGTCCATCCATCCATCCGACATAAGAAAACACCCATATTTCTTCCAAGCTTCCACATGTCTTTCTTAACTTGTTTATTTTATTTAGGGCATCCTCAAGAAATGGTTCCGCAACTCATGATAACTAGTAGGTTTTAAATCGAAACTATATTGTCCGGTGGCCTCAATCATAATTCTGTAGCTTCTTAATTTGAAAACATTGAATGGGATGCTATTTTCGTAGAAAAAATCGGCAATGCGTTTTTTCACTTCTTTCATTTATTCTTTTCCTTTATAGAGGCTTCGATGGTTTCCTGAACATAACCCTCTATATATCTTTCTTCAACAACCTCTTTAGAAGTCTTTCGAATCATTGCAGCAATTGACTAACTTTGTTTTTCAACTCTCGAAGGTTCAAGAAACTTAGAGTTAATTGAGTCAACTTTCTTTTGCTGCTTGTTCATGTACTTACATGCTCAGAAGGTTTGGATGATAAATTTGTAACACTTATAGATTGACATTTTATTCATTACTTTTTTGCTTATAAATTGATGTATTTCCTTTTGAATTTCTTCAGTGGTGCTAAGGCCCTTAACAACATCGTTGTAGCTGCCAACTAGATGTTTTAATCTCTTGACTCCATAATCCATTTCTCTATGACAGAGTGCATTCAATTAAATCATTTTATTCATTACTTACGTTGTTTCACTTGCAAGCAACCAAAGTAATGGTTACAGTGGCTTCCATGGGCTGAATTTTGGTACAACACCACATTTCAGATAATTGCCACCTTACTCCATTTGAGGTGGTGTATGGCCGTCCCCCACCCTCCATCCGGCGGTTCCTTCCCGGGGAATGCCCGGTGGCGGCTGTAGCCTCAGCGTTGGAGCTGCCTTATTTGTACTTGATCGTAAAATCATACTCCAACAATTTCGCCACCCAAATTTGCTGCGATGGAGTGCCAATGTGTTGTGTCATAAATGTTTCAGGTTGCAATGGTCCGTGTGGACAATGAATCGACGGCTGTCCAGGTAAGGGCGCCAGTGTTGTATTGTCAAGGCTAACCCCATCAATTCTCTCTTATAGGCTAATCGAAAGAAGGTGAAGTAAGATAGGGACTTGCTGAAATACGTTATAGAGCGCCGCTCCTACATGAGCACGGTACCGAGTCCAATACCAGAGGCGAGTGGTCCATTTCGATGACCCCCGATGGACGAGGCGCCTCAAGACAGCGTTGACAGGGTACCTGTCATTGCCATGTCTCAGTTTGATCGAGAGTTTATGGTTAAGTGCGACGCCTCTAATATTGGACTCGGTACCGTGCTCATGCAGGAGCGGCGCCTTATAGCGTATTTCAGCAGCACCCTCTTTCGATCATCCTATAAGAGAAAATTGATAGGGTTAGCCTTTGAATTTTCAACCGTCAACTGTTTTGACAAACGGGGTTTTCTCTTTTGATTATTCTTGATTTTATCAATCATCCACTATATATAATATACTACTCCCTCTGTCGGCCTCTAATGGTCACATTTACCTTTTACGTTATTGTATCTAATATTAAAAATATTCTTATATTTGTATAATTTCTTGTACAAATGTCCTTCTATTAGTATCTAATATTAAAAGTATTTTTATAATCTTTTCTTAATTTGTACTACGTTTTGATATAATAATTAATATTCAAATATTAAAACACAAAAAATAAATGAAACTCTTAAAGCCGAACGAAAGTAGTATATATTACCACGACAAAACAAACATAAAGCAATTTTATAAGTAGCATTTATCCATACAAATACGTAAATATATAGATATGTATAATTGCCTACAAGTACAACACAACTAATATATTATATATATAATCACCAACATCAATGCAGTCTACATAAAGCAATTTTATACATAGCATTTATCCATACAAATATGTAAATATATATATATAATTGCCTAAAAGTACAACACAATTAATATATTATATATATAATCACCAACAACAATGCATTCTGAAGTTTGCACTAAGTAAATAAACTACCTCCGTCCGATTCTAAAGGTCTCATTTATTTTTTGCGTGTTGATCTTTGAATATTAATTATTAAGGTAAATTGTTTTTTTGTCCCGTATCTGACTCCCTTTTCCATTTTAGGATTTTAAGTGAACCATGTCTGAAAATAGTCCCGTAATTAAAAATTTTTCACTAAAATGGTCCTCCAGTGCCGGACTCGCCACGTTGGCAGCCATTGCTGACATGGCACTGACGCGGCTGACATGTCATTGCCTGGTAGATGCCACGTCGGAGGACCATTTTAGCGAAAAAATTTTACTTGCAGGACTATTTTGAAACATAGTCGTTTTAAATGTCCTAAAAATGATATGAGGGGTTGTATACGGGACTAAAAAAATAGTTTACCAAGATATTTTGTAAAATAAAAATTTTTTTAAAAAAATCCACATGTCGCTGACGTGGCACCTACGTGGCGACGACATGTCAGCCGCGTCAACGCCACGTCAGCAATACCGGGCCAGCGTGGCGAGTCCGGCACCGAAGGACCATTTTAGCGAAAATATTTTACTTACGAAACTATTTTCAGACAAGGTCCACTTTAAGTTCGAAAATGATAAATGGGTGGATTAAAGAAACAATTTACCCTAATTATTATATCAAAACGTAGTACAAATTAAAAAATAATTTCAAAATTACTTACATTAGTGTCTTATAATACTAATAGAAGCACATTTGTATAAAAAATTATACAAATATAAAGATATTTTTAATGTTAAGTACAATGACGCAAAAGGTAAATGTGATACTTAGAGGCGGACGAAGAGAGTAATAAAGATTAATAGTAATGTAATACTGCACTATCACCAGTACAAAAACAATAGTAAACAATTATGCACTAGTACGTATATTATATACATAATATACTACTCCCTCCGTCCGTTAAATTTACTCTCACTTTCCTTTTTAGTCCGGCCGTTAAATTTACCCCATTACTAATTTTAGCAAAGTCAACAAATCCATATTTAACTATTATCCTCCATTTAACAATTATTTACAACAAATGCCACTACTTTTATTACGTTCTCTCTCTTCATTTCTTTAATTTCTAACTAAATTTCAAAAAATATCCCAACTACCTTTTTACTTTTATTATTTTTTTAATAAAATATTTATTTTTCTTAATCTCCGTGCCGAGTCCAAATGTTCTAATTTTACCGGATGGAGGGAGTATTAACCTACGCATTACACAATATGCATTACACTTTACATAAAGTTCTTACCTGACTAGAGGCCCAAACGAAGGCGGAAACGAAGCGACGGTGGACGGCGGCAACAACAAAGGTGGGTGAGACTTAAGAGAGACTAACCTTGATAAAGGTAAGACTGGATTTTAAGGCTAAGTTTAGGGTTTAGGGTTGGGTCTTGGCTGGGTGGGTTTTTAGAATTAGTTTAAACTGAGTTTAAGAATGGATTTAGGCTGGATTTAGGGCCCAGAGCTCGGGCTTGTCATCAATATGGTGTCGCCTTGGCAGGACAGTGTTGCCAAAGCGATGCCTGGACACCAGCCTTGTCAAATGGTGAGCCTACCTATTATGGCAGTGATTATACACCGCAAGGACAACGCCTAGGTGATGATGTGAGATGTGACAACCTTGTCAGCTAGTGATTGGTTGATCCTTCGAAGGCAAGTAAAACACCCTCTGGGTTTTTGTTTCAAATTTGGTTTAGGAATATTCACTTGGAACTCAAAAAAACAACATAATGTAGCATAACTAGAATTGTTAAATGAACCGAGTAACTTATGAGACAAGCTCGAGTTAGTTTGTTAACAACTTGACTCAAGTCATTTATTAACGAGCTAAGCTCGAGCTCAGCTCATGGGTAGCTCGATTGAATTGATTAGTAATTATATATTTGTATTATTTTATATATTAATTAAAAAAAATTGTACATTTAATTAAAATAAATTATGAATAATATTACATTTATTTAATTTTTATGCTAAAAAATATATAATATATATGAAATTTGAGTCGAACTTGAGCTCAAGTTTCGAGAGCCGAGCTCAAGCTTGAAAATAAGCCTAACAAGCTGAGCTTGAGCCATCATTTTAGCTCGAATCTTAAACAAAGCCAAATCGAACCTGTACCGATAGCATGTTCGAGTCAAGCTCAAACAACAAATACTCGAGCTCGCTCGGTTCTATTAACATCTCTGAGCACAATCAACTGCTAGAGCAAAATTGATAGCTATTACATCGGCAATTAATCCTGCTCTTAATTAGTGACATTTTTTATGAAGCCTCTTGCAAAGAGCAGATTTTAAGATTTAAGGGAGAATTGGAGTTTGGACCTACTATTCCATGGAAGAGTGTTTGATTAAGTGCGTCAACAGTAATTAGTTTGATATTTTTTCAGTTGTTTATGCTTAACTTGATTTCTTTTACCAAGTCTTTAAGAGTATACTAGTTATTTTCAGCTAAGCTAGAGTTTTGTCTGTTTTTTTATTCCAACCTAATGGATTTAACTTTAATCTATGCAGTCAATAAAAATCATTTTCTTCTTCTCTCATTTTCTATGTTCTTTACTCTCAAATTAAAGCAACACAAGTTCTTAATGTCAATCTTGGATAGCTGTAAATGGGGGTCAGCACATACGACATATTATATAAACAAAATTGCAATCACAATGCTCACGGAAAATCTTTGGTTTAGTCTCAAAATCATCCTTCCAAAGAGAAGCTTACAATATATAAGTCTTATAATACGTATTCACATTAAAAAAAAAAAAAAAAACAATGGGATAACCCAAACCTGGTCATAGTCAAATTCTGAAGAATAATTCTCTTCATTCTCAATTTCCTCAGTTATCACTATTTTATATAAGGAAAGGGGCCAGGAATGAAATCAAGGTGAAAGCAGGAGAAATGAAGAAGCAGAGGAAAAAGAAGAGCGGGTTACATCAACATGGGAAAAGAGGAAAGAATGAATGAAAGAAAGAAAATTTCTGAAGGCAAGATAAAAGGAAGACAATGCTATTTAACTCTAAAATATAATATTAATTTTATAATTATTGAAAATATAAAATGACGGAGGGTCGCAGAATTTGAGCAATGAGGAGAATGGGTTGCATAGTTATTGAAACTACTTTCATGTCTTATGCCTTAGTGGCAAGCAGATATTTTGGAGTTGGTGGCTGTCATATGTAGATATATATCTACATAGTGGGGAAGGGATGATTCGGTGTACCTCCTACATACCACACTTGAGGGTTTGTGCATCACTTTGTGAGCATTCTAAGGGGATAGTTAACTTTTGCTCAGTCATCACTGATGTTAAGGGCATGATCATCAGCAAGGCCACTCTAACCTTAACTTTGAATTTGAACAGCTAGTTTGGCAGTTTTGGTGTGTAGATGACCAAACTATGAGTCATTTTAAGTTTGATCAAAAACCCGATCAGATCAGAATATTAAATGACACTTCCAACTTTACTTTTTAAGGTAACAAGCATTGTCTCGCTCATTTGACACAAAGAGACATTATTTTAACCTTATCGCATTCTTGTTACCCTTTTAGTTTGATATGGAGTAGTGTTTTTGTTTGATGAGTGTATTGGACATGCCTTCAAGAGGTTTGGTGGTATAAAGAATTGAAGATTCCTGTTCAAAAGATAACTTTAATCCAGAACAGAGATGAAAGGCAAAGACATGAAATTCTATTAGTTATCATCATTCCTAGAAATAGAATCCACTGCCTATATATATCACAAACGTATTGCCCGGATAAACTCATAAAACCCTCACATATAGTTTCTCGAAATTCAGTGAGCAAACTCCCTATCAAGATCATAGATCCCACTTATGCTTGTTTCCCCGATTCAATCGGGCTAGACTTGGAAAAAAGTACAAGGAACTCATTCATTGGAACAAGGAAGATGATATCGTATTATCTCCAACGCAAAAAGGGAAGAGGAGAAGTCTGACCTTGCCAGAGATGATAAGCCAGCAATCGGTCTTGGTGCTGTGCTTGGCGACCTCCTCAAAGGCGTGAAGCTTTTCAGTCATATTCGTCGTCTCTCCTCTGGACCTGATCTGGTAGGAAGAACAGAAGCAAAGAAACGCAGCGCAACAACAAGGACGATGGGAGTGAGGATTGTGGTGTGGATGTTGACGATGATGAATATATGAAAATCAATTGAATTGAAAGCACCAGGAATCTCGCCTCGCCTGGACGACACACACAAGACTGGGGCTGGGCATCCGTTGGTCAACAATCACATTGACTACAGGACAGGCCGGCGCAGGTAGGCAGTAGCCAACCCCCACCCACCTACGCTGGCGCGTTGGTTGGTTAAATAGGCCCATTTAGTACAACTACAACACATGCACATCGCCTATTACCTTCCTATTCATTAATTCGATATGCCTATTAATTGATTCACTATAGTTGTCTTTAAGTGCCGTTTGGCAATTTTTTTTTTTATTTATTATTATTATTATTATTTTATAACGTGAAAATTAGCAACTGATGTGCTCCCAGTCGAATTTCACAGTATACAAACTAAGTTCGACAAGAGAAGTCACACTAGACGAATGAATTTGAACTCATGACTTCACCATCATAAATCTATCCCCAAACTACCGAGTCATCCCTTAGAATTGGCAATTACTTTAGCTTATGGAGTAGTTGTTAATTTATTCTATTGGCGATTCAATTAGATGACTGGACTATTTGGATATAGTATCAATTATGTTTAGTAAAATAATATTTAAGTTATAATTAAAATCATTTTATATACTTCATTGTCTCATAGAAATGTACTATTTTTTATTTTTTGTCCGTCTAAAAAACAATAGTCTATTTTTTAAATTTAATAATTATACTACATATCAAACATAATAAACACATTTACTAATATTCTAAAAATTATGTGCAAAAAATAAATAATACTCTAGACGGAGAGAATATATTATGTTAAATATTGGTAAATTTATTGTATTATTGAATTATAATTTTAGATTATTTTATTTTATTTTATTTATTTTTAATATAAAATTTATCTAATAAAAAAGTTATAGATAAAATAAATTAAGTCTCTCTATATTATGTTTTGTAGAAAATGACTCATTTGGTTAGGGATATGGTTATTTAGGTAGTATAGATTAGTAAGTTACTAATAATAAATAATTTCTATATTAATTTTTATTTAATAATAACATTAAAATAAGATTAATTTTTTTCATTTATATTATTCATATTTTTATATTTAAATTATGAAATTTTTAGAATTTTATTCAAAAATATTTGTGTATATATAAGTTTTCAATAAATCTATACTATTTTTTTTTTCTTTTTTTGATATTTTTATTAAAATAAACTTATATTAAATATCCATAATTAAATCATAATTAACATTCTTAACAAAACCATAATTAATACAATCAATAAATAATTTATATATATAAGTTAATAAAATTATTAAGAATAAGATACTATAATGTATATATAGAATACTTATTATTCATTTTAAAATTAAATAATTAATTTAAATTTAAATTTAAAAAATAAATTCGCTATTATACATATAGATTAATTACATAACTACTGATCAAATAAATTTTAATTTTTAACTTTTAAAATAAAATTATAAATATGTTATTTTAATAAAAATTTAACAGAGAGAGAGAGAGAGAGAGAGAGAGAGAGAGAGAGAGAGAGAGAGAGAGAGAGAGAGAGAGAGAGAGAGAGAGAGAGAGAGAGAGAGAGAGAGAGAGAGAGAGAGAGAGAGCCAAACCCTAGTTTTATGTAATTATCAAATGCATAGGGTTATGCATTAATTAATCTTCATAAATACTTTCGCTGCATTCATTCAAGAATTATTGTCAACGTACGGAATGGGCGCTCCTGGTTGTGAATACCCAATTGGACGGGTTTCGTCGAGACCTATTTCAATTTTGTTGTTATCGTGGCCACTTTGAGTTCAAAATTTCATATATGGGCTTAGGATTACAAATTTTTAAATTTCAAGTCCGGTCCGATCTGATCTGAGAAGGGTGTTTCACAAATTCATTTAGGTTGTGTTTGTTTGGGAGATTGAATTAGATTTTTACTGTTTATTTCATTTTTTTTTTCCTAAAAAAATCAAATTAAATACTTATTTTTTATTTTTTATATTATACTAAAAATCAATTGTATATTCAAAACATCACATCCAACACCTATTTATATCACATCATACAACTATTCAAATTCAAAATTTTTACTGTTCAAATCTCAATTCAAAATCCAAATTCCCAAACAAACACACCCTTAGATTAATAATTTAAAAATTAATATTATTGTTACCCCTGGAATTTTTTCTGATAACGATCGAATTGATTTAGGCCGACCGAAATCATCAAGAATCAAAATTTCAGATTTACTTAAGAAAGTGTTCGGGCTGGGCTAGTCTAGCAATAAAAATTAATGTATTTAATTAACTAAAAAATACTAAAAATTAAAATGCTGAATTATACTTGAAAAGAAAGTAGGAAATGAATAAATAGATTGAATTGGAAAAACTAAATTAACAATAATTTAAGAACAATAAATTCAAAAAACGAAAGCAATAAATCATGCAAAAGTAAGCAAATAAAAAATAAAAAAAAAATAAAAAAATAAAAAAAAAAGAATTATTGTGTGTGGTTTGCCTTTTCTCTAAAACGTTGCCCCACACTTTTTAATGTCATTGAGGTGTTTTGTCCATAATCTTTCCCAACTCCCTCTCCCCTTTTAGGAACCACTTTTTATCAATTTCTTCACCCAGGTCATCTAGACTAAACTTGTTCTTATTCATCCAAAATAATATTTGCATAATGATCGATATGGTCTAAATTTTTAAATTTATATTTTCATTATCTTCATTTACTTTTATTTTTGAACTTTTTACAATTTTAACAATAGTTCTTTTTTTCTTTTTTAATCTATCATTCTTTTATTTCAAACGTTCTTAATTTTAAAAATTAGTTAATCCTCCATCTTATTTTCAAGGTTTTAAAGAATTCTATTGTATTTGTTTTTTTCCTCTTAAATAGATAAAAATAGCAATATATTATACAATCGTCTATTATGTGATAAAGTACCTTCTATCACATTGAATTTGCATATATTTTAAATCATACACATCAATATGAATTAATTGTAATGATTTTCCATTTTTTCCGGCCGAACAAAGTGGTAATTTTTCAACAATTTGTCTCTACACAAATTTCACATTTTAAGTGTTTAGGTCTTTAACATTTAATAATGTGATATTTACTAATTTTTTTTTTTTAGAGCATTAGATCAATATGCCATAATCTACAATATCATAAATCATAACATTGAATCAAATACAAGAAAGAAGAAATATCATTATTAGTTAGTGCTTAGCACATTGTTATTACATTTAGTCTTAATAGTCTATTGGAAAGATACTCTCAAATTAAGAACATCTTGATTTTTAATAAATTAAATTTACTATAAAGACTAGTTTAAAATTATGTCTCATAAATAGCGATCTTGAGACAAAGTTTTGCGGATGTTAGGGACCTGCAGAACATCCTTCAAGGTAAGCTATTTTTCGTTAGTTTTAGCACCACTGTTCCCACTATTTTGACTTTGGAAAAGGCATGACTGCCTATGCGTGGACATACAGGACATTGATCAGCGTAACAACTCTTCCAAACGTCATCTTCAGAAGAACATTTCCTCTTCCCTTGACTTCAGCAGGAGCAACATTCCCCGTGTACATCGTTTTTCCTTTGACACACTCGAATGAGGAGAACTGATTTCTGTCCATGCAGATATGGCGTATTGCTCTCGTGTCGAGCCACCACTGTTTCTTGTTTGATCCCACCATATTTGCCTTAGAGACAACACATGTCAGGTCGAGTGGCTCTTCATCTTTAGTAACGACGTGTGCCTAATTCGTCTATTTCTTTCTTTTCGGCGACTTGTAGTCTATCGAACTGTATCCGACCTTTCCGCAATTGAAACTGTTACCTTTGAAGGTACTTTTTGTCTTTTTAACGCCACCAGATGGCTTCAACTTCTCTTTTCCCATGTCCCTTGGCTTCCAATTTTTTTTAGGTTGCTCATTGTTCCTCAGAGCTGTCTTGAAACGAGAGCCTTGGCCTTCGTGCTTGACTATATTGGCCTTGTTGCCGAGTATCAGATGTCCCATGCTTTCCAGGTTTGATCTATGTTCTTCTACAGCTTGGAGATGATTGATCAGTCTTGCCATGTCCATTTCCTTCCGTTTGTGTTTCAAGTAAATTTTGAAATCACCCCAACTAGGTGACAAATTTTCAATCATCATCGCCACTTGGAAAGCTTCACTCAGCTCCATCCCCTCGGCCTGGATCTCATGCAGAATCAGTTGAAACGCATCAAGCTGTTTCGTAACATTTCTTCCATCTACCATTTTGAAATCCAGAAATTGTCCAACGACGAATTTCTTTGCACCAGCATTATCTGTTATGTACTTTTTCTCCAGCGTCTCCCATAGCTGCTTAGCCATTAGTGCATGCCGGTAGACACCGTATAGGGAGTAGCTCAAGCTGTTTAGTACATAATTTTTGCACATAAAATTTGAGCGATTCTAGGCTTTAAGAGTTTGTGTTTTCTGTTCTTTCGAGGATCCTTCAGGCACAACAGGTGCATCCTCTGTCAGCCAATCTACCAGATTCAGCGTGGTCAGATAAACAACATCTTTTGCTGCCATGTTTTAAAAATTCTTCCCGTTGAATTTTTCTTGCTTATCTGCTGCTGCAACAACAGGCTGTCTGAAAGTTGTAGCAAGAGGCTGCATTACATGGTCTACAACAACAACAACTTGTATACCCTCCAAGTCGTCTAATTACTATTCGGAAGATGCAATGCGACCCTGTGCAAGTCCTGCAGCCATACACTGCGGACGAGGCAAAAAGTAGCAGGCTGTCTCACACGGGTATCAACAGGATCCCATTTTTTTTCCATCAAGCAACAGGCTGGTTGGAGGTCACAACAACAGGCTGCGCCCTATCCATTGCGGCCTTGAAGGCCTATTTGTACGTTGCCTTCGCAGTCTTTTTGGCAGCAGCCCTCATGGTTGCCTCACGTCTGGCAGCAGCGATTTCCGCAGCCTTACCAGTTGTATGGGGTGTCTGAGATCGTGGGACAGAAAGAACAAGAGTGTGAGACTCGCTTGAGTTAACCTTCTCGTTTTCCTCCTTGTTTGCACCAATTTGAACATTGTCGTTCAAATTTCTGTTGCCTCCATCGCGCATAACATCGATCATTCCTTCATCATCAGGTACGTTTTGGGGAATTTCG